AGTTATTGGTAAAAAACCGCTGGTGACCTTTGATGACGTCACATGACCTTACAGCTGCCCAACAGCAAAACAGACCTCAAGGTAGTGAAGGTTGATCGTATATGAAGTCATGTAGGTATGGTATATGGGGCCATTCCGACCCGTTTTAGTGGTAAAAACAGGGAGTTGATTTTTTTCCCCATTGACTTATAATGGAGAGGTCGCGAAATTGACCTGACCTTAGGTCACCGATATCAAAATTCCGAGATAAACATATTGTAGCTACTAATGACCAATAACATCCTGCGACTTTCAAAGGTCTCCGACATCTACTGTAGCTCTGGCACGGTGGCAAAGTTGCAAAAAAGTGACTTGAGGTTGGGTCACTCAAAATGACCTGGTGACCTGACCTTTAACCCGGCCGGGCCCGGGGGTAATCCCAACCACCGCAGCCCGGGGGGGGCGTTTTTCGCCCCCCTGTCTAACTCTGTAAATAAGGGAGCTACGGAAACAAAAGCGATACCAAACGAAAGGTCCTTACGAGACGATTCTAATGCACCTAAAATTTTTGACCTCAGGTCAATTTTCAAGGTCAGAGGTCAAGGTCAAAGGCCAAAGCCGGCACATGTGTAGTGATCTCAAAGTAAGCCTTCTAGAGGACGGCAGGCTGCATCAAACCGGCAAAATTGGGTGTCAAACGAAAGAAGAGAATCTGAGGATTCTGAAAATGTGTTCCAAATTAAAGGTCAAGGTCAAGGTCACGCTCAAAATTGACCTCAAACTTGGCACTTTTTCGCACATCTTGCGTGCTAACTTCCAAGATGTTTTGAAATGTTTTGAGGCTTATCAGTTCCCTATTTGTGGTTCATCTTACGATACAAGGCTGCTCAAAGGTCAAGGTCACAGAAGAGTATCCCTGCTAGAGGCTATTTCACTGATTCAAGTTAGTAGGGGAAGGTGGGGTAAGACGGACCAGCTAAGGTTTGAGGTCGCATATCTTGCTACACTGCTCTCGTAATTCATATTATTTATAGTCTTAGGAATGTTCAATCCTTCCTCTGTTGATATGTGTAAAGACTAAATTTCAAATTAAAGACATCTAGGTGGTGGATGCTCTTAAAGAGGGACATGTCAAAAACTGAGACAAGAAAAAACGTGGGGTAAGACGGACCACCCAGCAGTGCCTGCTATCCGTTCATGTGTGTTACACTTCTGCTCTGTACTCTTGTAAGAAAAAATAACCAGAATGGTAAAATAACAAAATGAGCCTTTATTCTTTACTCATGTGTGATGGAAGTGCAGCTAAAAGCTGGGAACATGTGTGTTGATTGTCGTTTGGCATGAATGCATGCTAACTGAGCACTTGCATGCATGGCTCACATGCAACAAAGATTCCTTCCTGAAAAATTAGCTTACTTAAACTTGTGTCAATGTTTTGGAAAAGAACTTTCCATAGGTATGCAGGGTACAATGGACCACCACAGGGTAAGATGGACCACAGTGGTCCGTCTTACCTCAAATCTAAATTCTTTCATTATCATGACGTATATGTCAAATAGCCCAACATTGCAAAACCTTGCCTTTCCTAAAGTGTGACTATAACTAAGTTTATAACTTTGTTCTTCACAGTTAAGTGCAAAATAGAAACTAATCATGCAAGAAAGGCGCCGTAATTGAACCACCCGTAGACCTCTTATATTAGATCGGTTTGACGAAAAACAACATTTTTCTCAATAACTCAAAAGCTATGCATCCTAGCAGCATGAGCTCAAGGTGGCCATTGTTACGAAGGAAAACAAACATAGTGAGTGCATAAAGCAGTAGATACCAGCAGCGGTTCAGCCGGGAGGGCTGGTGGTCCGTCTTGCCCCGCTGGGCCGTCTTACCCCACCTTCCCCTAATAATAAATAAGACAATTTTGCCATCCGGAAGCTGTAAAGGAAGGCTTAGAGGAAAATAGATGCCAGATTCGTGATCAGCGGGTACAAATCCATCATAAACGACCTTTCATGTGTCAAGGTCAACCAGAGGTCATTCGAGGTCACATGAGGTCAACATGAAACTTGACCTTTTCCGAACAAAATATATACCATTCGACGCGGCTTGACAAGGCGAATGCGATGGTACCACTGCCGTAGCTCTAGAACCATTTTTGTCGAAGTTATTTGCGAAAAACTAAAACCACTTTTCGGGGTCGTTGACCTGACCTCTGACCTCAGGTCACCAAAACTATTTTTTTTATTTTTCTCTAGGTCAAACGCTACACAGCCGTGCTCGTAATTTGTCTTTATCTCTAAAACTCTATTTTTAGCAGCTATTTGAAGTTTGCGTCTGTGACGCCGAAGTTTGCCGTGCAGGGGTCTAGAAAAATGGACCTTGTGACGTCATCAAGGGGGCTAGGTCCAAACTTTTTACTTCAGAAGATGTCAAATTGATGGGAGAAAAGGTACTGAAAGTTTCGCCTTCCTATCCCTAAGCGTTCGGGAGTTATCGCAAATATTCGCAAGGGGGGCGAAAAACGCCCCCGGGCCCGCGAGGGTTAAAGTTAGGAGGTTCAAACTTGCACACCATGTGTAAAATTGATGGGGGAATAGTCGTACCAAATTTCGCGGCGCTACGCGCCGCGGTTTTCCCGCTATTCGCGAAAAACCTCAGGGGGGGGGCGGATATCCGCCCCCCCCGTCGGTGCGCGTGTTAACCTCGTGCGATCCTTGAGATTAATTATTAATTGCTTAGGCATCATTACGCCCAGGCTATGACTATGCTACAGCGACTGTGGTGAAGACGTGCCTAGCATCTGTCGACCATCGCAAGTTTGTGTGCCTATTTGCCACTGGCTGGTAAGCGTATGCCGTCTAGGCATGACTAAAGACGGAAACAATATTGTGACGGTCAACAAGCCACAAGTTTAGGTTCGTCCTGCCAGTCACCGCAAACGCTTCTTAAATACACAATGCACATCATGAGTCATGTCGCGTGACTTTGTCGTCGACACCACGTTTACCCAGCGACCGCGACCCTCGGCTGCGTCAACAGGCTTTCTATGGTACAACACGCAGAACATGCAGAAATCGACCTTGGCTAGGTGCGACTCATGCCAACGTGGCACTTTGTTGGTCACTGGCACTTCAGAAATAGAAATACAAACGAACGCTCTAGCTGCGGCCTTGGCTGAACGAGGCGGCGGGCCGCCCACGCTCCTGACTCGGGCTGTCTCGCCTGCTATTGAACGGAGCTATATGGAAGGGAGCGGCCAATGCCGTGACAAGTAAAATGACGGATTGAATGCTGTGCTGACTGAAAATGCTCCCGTCATCGATAGCATTTCGCCAAGGAAGCACCAATAAGGTCTCAAGAACTTACCAGTATGTGCGTTAGTACTTAGTTAAAACGAAGAATTGCTATGATTATCACGCTTTAAACTTTGTATACCAGCTAATTTTCTCCTGTTTTCTACCTACATATACCTAAATAGCAAATGGCCGAATTCATTATAGTCACAGCTACCAATTCAACCGCAAGAATTTTCCCCAAAGACGAAGACACGAGAGAATAGATAAAAGTGCACCAGCGTTTAGATGACGGAGGGGTTTAGGGGCTTAGCTAGCGTATAGTTCCTTACGTTTCCCAAATTAGCTACACATCCTTTCAGCTTCGTATGTACCTACTTGCTTAATTGCTTGTTTTGCAAAATTGAAAATATTAGTACCTACACTGTACACACGTATATAGCATGATTCATTTTATATATGGTACCTACAGCCAGGGCTGCGCATGGATTTTCGGCGACTCCGACTCCGACTCCCACTCCGGCTTTCAAAAACCAGCTCCGACTCCGACTCCGACTCCGGGCAGAATTGTCGACTCCGACCGACTCCAACTCCCGACTCCGACTCCGCAGACCTAGCAGGGCTGCGGAGTCGACAGATTTTCGGTGACTCCGACTCCGACTCCGGCTCGGGTTTCTAAAATCGACTCCGACTCCGACTCCGACTCCGGTCACAACTGTCGACTCCGACCGACTCCGACTCCGACTCCGACTCCGACTCCGACTCCGCAGCCCTGCCTACAGCACATATATATTTATTGTAAATAACTACCAAATGATTAACTAATAATGAATTTGCCTACATCATAAACTGTGGGATCATCTGGCTAAACGGATTAATCATTTTAGGAGTATGGCATAAGACTGAATTCGGAAGAAAGACAATTTATGGACTTCTTAGTTTGGATGCTTCATATTGCATGATGAGTGGGAGTAGTGGTCCGAAGACAGAGCCCTGTAGACAGCCAGCATTTATTGGCTAACCCATCGAAGAGTCATGATGCCTATTGCTGCTCTTGCCAAATAATATGTGTTGTAATTATGTAGTAACATGTTAAACCATATAGCTTGGTAGTAGTGTCCTCACGCTAATGGCGCTGAGTACCGAATCCACTCTATTGTATTCTTTTTTAACTGGCAAATGCTAAGTAATGCAAATTCCTTATCGCATCTCCGTTTCTGGTATTCGCCGGCTTGCGACCAGCTCTAACCGTAGCTTCATGCCCCGACCGACTTCATGAACCATAGCAAGTTTGAGGCTCGCATTTCAGTCCCTCGGGCGAATTGCAGAAGGCACGTGAGAGCGGTTTCGGGTGGGTTACAGGGCACAAGTCGTTCGTGATCAGGACGTCCGGGTGGGAACGATCGCAGGCCGAGGGTCCGCACACCCAGGTGAGCCGGCGAACCAGGAGAGGCTCCGGTATCAGCGGCACCCAGAAGGCTCTGGTGACGCCGCCAGTCTAGTTTGCACCAGTTGACCATGTGGTTCCGGGCTGGCGAGGGGTAAAAGCGCTCCGTGCAGGCACGGAGAGGTTTGTGTCTGGTAGTGAGAGGGCCAGAGAGCCTAGGTGAGGCTGCGACAGTGATTCTTCGGCGAAGGGCAGCGAGTTGTACGTCCATTCTAGGAATTCTGCAACCTAAAGAAGAAACTTTGTAGATAAGCTATCTTCCGTTAAGATAATAGACTCCAACAATGGACAACCCAGCGTTCGTCGACAGTGAAACACCAAACGGTGCTCCGCTCTTCAGCCCTGCGCAGATGACCAGCTTGACCAATGAAAACTGTAACGGCCATAGCATCCCGTCACGGACTGAGAGCTCGGCTCCGCTGTGCACCAGCGGCTCCGCCACCGCCAATGGCTCAACAACCACCGCTGACGAGCCGCCGGGGCCGGTCTGTCTGCGACGCACCCTCGGACTCGTCTCCGTTTCAGCCATTATGACCAGCACCATGATCGGTTCGGGCATCTTCATGTCGGCGGGCACGGTGCTGGCTCTGTCGGGTGGCGCGCTGCTCCCGGCCCTGCTGATCTGGGCCAGCTGCGGCCTGCTCTGTCTGCTCGCCGGAGTCGCCTACGTGGAGCTCAGCTGCGTGGTGCCCAGCGCCGGCGGAGAGTTCGCCGCCATGCTGCACGCCTTCGGGCCGCTGCATGAGTTCCTCGGGCCTCTGCCGGCCTTCTTGTACGCGTGGATGACGTGTCTGGTGTCACGGCCGGCCAACACGGCCATCCAGAGCCTGGCCGTGGCCGAATACTGCGTGCAGCCCTGGTTCGGCGCAGAGTGCCGCCCGCCCGTCCTGGCCATCGCGCTGGTGGCCCTCTGTGCCAACACGCTGTCCGCCTTCATCAACAGCTACAGCGTCCGGCTGACGGCGACCATCAACAACCTATTCGCCGCCGCCAAACTGGTGGTGATGATCGGTATCGTGGCGGGCGGGGTGTACTTCATCGTCCGGGGCGGCACGCGACACCTGACCGCCGGCATGCCCAGCGAGAGAGTATCCATCGTAGACCTGACTGCCGCCTTCTACACCTGCCTGTGGGCGTACGAGGGCTGGAATAACCTCAACTTCCTCACAGAGGAGATGTCGAATCCGGTGCGCGACATGCCGCGAGCGCTGTTCATCGGCGTTCCGCTGGTGACCTTCAGTTACCTGCTGGTGAACACAGCTTACTTGACCGTACTCTCGCCAGATGAGGTAATCGCCACGCCCGCGGCGGCCGTGGCGTTCGCTGAGCACGCGCTGGGCAGCGCTGCCGGCCTGCTGATCCCGCTCTGCGTTGCGCTCTCCGTGTACGGCACCCTGAACGGCACCATCATGGCCTCCAGTCGTCTGTCGTTCACGGCCGCTCGCGCTGGTCACCTCGCGCGACCACTGGCGCTCCTTCAGACCACCAGTCGTACGCCAGCTCCAGCCATCATATTCAACACGCTCGTCTCATCAGCCATGCTGGCGTACGGCGACTTCGAGAAGCTGATCACGTTCGCCAGCCTCACGGTGTGGATTTTCTACGGGCTGGCGATGGTGGCACTGCTGGTGATGCGGCGCACGCGGCCGGACGCGCCGCGCCCGTTCCGCGCGCCGACGGCCGTGCCGTGGCTGGTGCTGGTGATGGCCGTGCTGCTGATGGCCGTGCCGCTGGTGAACGGGCCGCGGCTGGACCACCTGGCCGTGCTGGCCTTCCTGGTGACGGGCGTACTGGTGTACTGGCGGTGTGTGTACCGGCACCGGCCCTCCGCCGGGTCGCAGAGGGTGACCCTCCTGCTGCAGAAGCTGCTGCTGCTGGCCGGACAGCACTGACGACCAGCGCAATGTCATAAAACATTGCATTTTAATTATAATATATTATCGACACTTGACAGTGAAGCACTTTTGTGAGGACTGAGGAAACTTGTTGGGCTTTGGACGGTGCGATATATTTATTGATCTACGATAGTTACACATTGAGTCGTAAATATTTATAATTTTCTCATTTATTTGGCACCAAAGGAGCTAAAAGGCAGTGTCGCTCTGTGCACACTGCACTATGTTCCGTGCTGGTAACTGCGATGTTTTACAATTAGTGGTGAAATATTAAACGGACAAGCAGCATAACAGTGTTTTATAGCGAGATTTGCGCACTATGATGATTGATTCTTTTCAACGGTCAATTCATAACATCGGAGAAAAGGAATGGCACTGATATCTTATTTTACATATAAACTCAACATTAGGTAGGTATTAACAAGACAAGTTTGCTGGCCTGTTAACTTAATTTCATTTACAAAAACATAAGCTCGCTGCCATCGAGTAAGTGACTGCGCCTCAACTCAACCATCTTTGCTGAGAAACTATATAAGAATATATTTTGTTGTGTCTTCCTTACTTTTGATTGAATCGGTGATATGCAGATATGAAAGGTGTGAGGAGATATGGTAGCATATGCTGAATCTTACTTTAGATAGCACAAAACAACCAAAATATTGAACTTAAAAAATGCTGAGTTTTTAGGTAATGGTATATTATTCTGGTCCATACCATGTAAACAGTGATAGGTAGCTAACTATCAGCATAAATACGGCCGTCTAACTATTTCTGTGTACCTAACCTACATCACGCATTAGTTCAGCTCAGTCACGTGCAAATACTGACCATTCTAAGGAACGACCGCTTATCTGCACTTCATCTCCGTATACATGCAGCAGAGCACTCGATAGTCACATTACGCAATCAGTCACTTTTCGGTCGGGCCCGTGCGGCGGTGTCTACCTCTGAGCTCGAGTGGACCGCCGTTGTACCGTCTGACAGATTAGCCGTGTCGGAAGACGGCGGTGCAGAGGCGACTGCGTGGTCGGCAGGGCGGTCACTGGCCGTGACTTGCATGTTCGCGACTCCCTATCCACCGCGCGATACGGCAGATAACCTGCCCGCTCAAGGCCAGCCTGGGGTGAGATCGGGACCGAGCGACGCACCAGTCTCCGTCTGCAGCCTGTAGAAGTGGACCAGACGCACGCACCGGACGGAATAGGGGAGAGTGGGGTAAGATGCCCAGGGTGGGAAAGACGCCCCACCCCCTCTAGCGGGGAAACAAAGAATCGAACCTGGAAATTAATGTTCTTAGCGTAAAGCGGAAGCCTGTCTTGTTAACTGCACAAATGAATTTGCGAAGCTGAGTTGGGCAACGGCTGGCTGGTGATTGTATGTTTTTTATTTGCTGCTTTCAAAAAATATTTTGGTGTCAAAACATTGTAAATATCAAAGAAGGTAGATAATTTTTGCGTCCCTTGCTATAGTCGTGATACATTAACATGCATGTACTGTGTCCCAAACAGTTTGTTTCAGGGTGTAGTTTTATGGCTAACAAATTGTACTGATTTAATGTTACTTCGGTACCTTGGGGTAAGATGCCCCCTGTCCTGATGGGGAAAGACGCCCCCCTAAATCCGTAGGCTGTCCTTCAAGCAGCCCATCAAATCATCTATTACATACTTGTGATGAGAGACAAAAGCCGATCTGGGACTATTGAGAGTCCAGTACGGTCGGGTGCTCCCCATGCCGGTCTCTCGGCCCACACAGCGACTTCTTGGGCGGCATCTGACTCTGAGAGCCCTCACGACGGCCTCTGTGGGCCCCATTATTGGCTCCAGGGCCTCTCACGACATCCTTTGAGGGCTCCCACGTTGGCTCCACGGGCCGCGCTGGCATCTGAGGTTCCCACGATGGGCTCGAGGGCCCTTAACCCGCGCCCTGCTGGGGGGTGTGTGTTTGAACACCCCCCCCCCCTTGTGGTTTTTCGCGAATATCTCAAAAACGGCGGCGCGGAGCGCCGCCGTTTTTGGTACACCTCATCATACATCGATTCTACACATGTTGTGAAAATTTCAGACCAAGGTCATTCAAGGTCAGGTCACCAGGTCACTTGAAGTGACCTCACCTCATAAAAAGTTTCAATGTCTGTCATAGCTACACCGAGTGACCGATCGCTTTGAAACTTTCAGCGATTGGTAAGAGGAATAGCATGTACAAAATGTATATCTCAGAATTTTGATATCGATGACCTAAGGTCAGGTCAATTTTGCGACCTCCCCATTATAAGTCAATGGGAGAAAATTGAAATGCGCCTCTTTTGGACGAAAGACATTATAAACACTGCCAAAAACTGAATTACAAGTGGTTTAGACACACTGAACATGAAAATGGCGTCCGTGACCCTTGTTTATGCCCTGAGGTCATCTTAGGTCACGAATGGTATCTAACAGTTTTTCGCAAATAACTTTTGATAGAGGCATGCTAGAGCGATGAAAACGCCTTAGATGTGTTCAGCTCGACGATACGGATCGACTGATATGCAACATGACCCTTTCCGGTCAGGTCATGACCTTGACCTGAGGTCAAATTTTCAAGTTGACCTTTCAAGGTCAAGTTATAGTTCATTCGATGCGTCTTGACGTGAGGAACACGATGCCGGTAAAAGTAAGCTCGTACAAGGCTTGGGTCAAAAGTTATTGCAGAAAAACTGTTTCCGAAAAAATCGGCTATTTTTGCAGTTTTTGCCCCCTGCAGGCAAAACCGTTGACGTTAGGTCAAATCTGAGAGAATTACTCAGAAAGGGCGTTAATAGGGCTATCGAATGCACTTTTCCGCGGCGCTGTAGCTCTATTGGTTCCCGAGTTATGCGTTAGCTTCTTGGAAATTTTCGACATTCGACCTGGAAATCGGTGAAATTTTGCCTTCAATGACCTCTGGTGACCTGACCTTTGACCTGACCAAAAAATTGACCGAAGTGATTTCGTCATTATTTTTTACGCTCTTTCGAACGCCGCCTTCCGCGTATCGCTACGTGGCCCAGGAGCCGAGTTACAAGGGGGGGTGTTCAAACACCCCCCCCCCAGCAGGGCGTGGAAATCCAGGACCCCCAGCAGGGCGCGGGTTAAGAATCATGAAGACCTATAAGGGCCCCACAGTGGTCTCCGAACGCCACCACGGAGGCTTGTTTGGCCGCGCTGGACTATGATGGCCCTAACGATGACCTCTGAAGCCCCTTACGACTACTTTTGATGGCCCTTACGATGACGTTTGGTGTCTACTGCAGGCTCGAAGGGACTACTGATTCGTTCAGGCGATGCACGTGCCCATTTGTCACTTATAGTGCAGGGGGGCATCTTCCCCAACCCCAGGGGGCGTCTTTCCCACCCTGTGGGGTAAGATGCCCCCTTTCACTTCTTCAGGAAAATGCTTAATAGCAAAAAAAAGTTATCATATTTCAGGCACGAAAGCGTGATATTTTTCGAGAAAAATGATGTCGGCTTCCGTTGAAACTCCAAGTTTTTGCTTTCCGATCGTCATTTTCGAATAACATATGACATAGCAAAACCCTGGGCATCTTTCCCCACTCTCCCCTACCTACCAGTGCACCAGAGGTGAGCACTGAGCAGGCTGCAGTGCTTGTGTGTTGGAAGCTGTACACGACCAAGTGCGGAGATCATTGGCAGGGCCAATACCTTCAGACAAAGTAACAGTACCTATCTAAACAAACAAAGTCATAGAGTACAAGGCTTTCATTGGCCATTTTTAAGCTTCGTAAAACTCAAGGTACGTTTCATTTTTTTTTAACAAAATGTTTTGTAAACCGTACCACGTTAGCTGCTTTCCAGCATGTTCACTAAGAACTATTCGTACCTACGTATGTATGTACTTACCTACATCCAGCATCCTCGTTTTTTTTTTTGCAGTTTCCAAGATGGGCATTGACATTTACGCCATCAAGCCGAGCCCGCCTTGCCGGGCCGCCTTTCTGGTGGCCAAGGCCATCGGCCTGGACTACAACCTCAAGATCGTGAGCTTGGAGAAGGGGGAGAACCGCACTCCCGAGTTCCTGAAGATGAACCCGGCACACACCGTGCCTGTCATGACGGACGGAGAGCTGTCAATAGGTGACAGGTAGGTACCTGACAGTGACAGGACAGATGTAACGATTCGATGTAATTGAAACAGAAATGAGAGGCGTGAATATGAATAAATCTAGCTTACGGTTTAGGTGCAATACGGTTTGGTTGGGGAAATTCGGGATAAGCCTTGCATATCCCAACTTTTCCCAACGTCGATTACGTTCAGAATTCCCCAATCGATTTCGAACCTGCCTAGACATATTCAGTTGGTCTGTATATACAGACCAACTGAAGACAATTTATTCGAAACGCGTTTTGGTCTGTCAATGCATAAATATAACTGAGGAATTAACTTTATAATGCCAGTTGGCTTCAAATTGTACACACATTGGTATGTCTAGGGCACAATATAATATAAATGTGCCTGTAGGTATATCCGTAGAATTAGGTAGAGTTGTTAGTTGTTGCACTTCAGATTTCGCTTTGAACAGCAACTGCAGAAAGAAGGCTCCACAGATTTTTTTAAAATGAATATATATATATGTTTTTTCATTAATGTTTTTATTGCAAAGACACTCAACCGCCTCTATTTGTTCCGGCAGCAAGGCGATCATCACCTACATGATGAACCAGTACGCGCCTGCCAACTTGCAGAGCCTGTACCCCCGCGACCCGGCCGCCAGGGCCTTGGTAGATCAGAGACTCTACTTTGACTCCCAACTGTTCTCCACCCTTCGCGGTATCGTGGTAAGTCTCCTAATTCCAGTTTATGGGAAAATAGCCGATTTATGCTATTGCACTGTCAGGGATTTCCCGGGCAGCCACATTGGGAAACCCTTGGATATCCCACCAGGAATCGCTGCGAAATTGCATTGTCAGCAATTTCGCAGCGATCCCCAGTGGAATATCCAAGGGTTTCCCAATGTGACTGCCCGAGAAATCCCTGCCCTTGGCTTGGGATTTGGGATCAAACAATTTGGCTGATCTCTCCCAATCGTTCCTAAAACTAACTATTACCTAGTTGGCTCTTCCCAACTGTTAAGTAGGCACTTCCCGTGCGTTTCTCAAGCTTCCAATGAATACTACGGCATAGTAAAAAAGCACGATCCCAACCAAGATATCCTATGATTTCCCCAAGTGGTGTTGGAATATCGCACGCACTCCTTAAGGCTGAAACAGACTCTTTCCGCACTCAGGAAATCGCATGCGAGAGCCTATTCAAATACATTATAGTTCTTCCCGCAGCAATCGCATCCGGGAGATGCGTGCGATTGATGCGAGCGTGCTTCCATGTAACCGCAGGTTGTTGTTTCATTAGACAAACACAATTCGTTAGAATTGTGTTTTTCTATTGAAAAACAACCGGAGCGGTCGTTCTCCGGGCTATTTTAATAGGCTCTCGCATGCGATTTCCTCACTGCGGAAAGAGTATATTTCAGGCTTTAGGCTCTACATGATGTCAGAGCAAAATGAGTAGCACGATCTAATAACTGAGAAACCGCTGAGCCTCTCAACTTTCCCCAAACGGGGGGAGCCTGGGAAAACCAGAGTATCTCGGTCTCCAATAAAAGCAACGAAGCATTAGGATGTGCTTGCATCAGACCATCGGGAAGGGGAGCATCGGATGTTTTAGCATTCCCCCATCAAGGTACGGGAGTCTGGAAATGCCTAAAAAATAGCAATTCCTGCTCAATATTTCCCTACTGATCCCCAAGAGAAATGCTGACCATGGGTAATACAAAGTAAATGCTTCAACATGCATGCAAGCATGCAGGAAGCGAAAAACGATTTTGATTTAAAGAGAGCTTGATGTGCTGTTCGGACAATACCTACAACTTTTTACAACGCATAATTTACACACATGCATAACTCCCGAATGTTAGGGCTTCGCTTCTTATCATTTGAGTTAGCAACTGCTTCGACTTGCAAGTTGCGATAAGGCGCAGCCATTTATTTCACGAGCAGCCCGGCGCTTCAGCATGACCCTCTTTGACGCCCCTGCTGCGTCCCTATTTCAGTTTCCTCTGCTGTACCTGAAGGACCTGAAGCAGTCGCAGGCGAACATGCCGCGGCTAGAGGAGAACATGGCGCTACTGGAGACGTTCCTGACGCGCTCCACGTACCTGGCCGGCGAGCACTTGACCATCGCCGACCTGGCCACGCTGGCCAACGTTTCTAGCATGGAGGCCTGCGGAATTGACATGTCCCGCTGGCCGCACGTGCAGGCATGGCTGGCCAAGCTGAAGGCCGAGCTGCCCTACTACGAGCAGGCCAACGGCGAGGGAGCTCAGATGCTCGGTGCCATTTACCAAAGGATACTGAAGGATCTGGGAGGAAAGTAGATGTGGTGTGATCGCTGAAAGGACTATCGGAAGGGCAGGCATGCTCTTGTGTTTGCCTCTTATGGTCTCCATAAAATAATCAGCAATTATCCGTCAACAGGCATGGCTTAGGCCGCTCAACAAAAAGCTAGGTAGTTGACAGTAGTGACAGTACAAATGTATCCTTGCCAATTGAAGTGCGCCAATAAGGCAATATATGCCTACCAATAATTGATGATCGTTTGTACAATGAAGTGTGAGTTACTTTCATCGCCAAATAAATGGACACTGGTATCTTCACGCTGTATCAATCATTTCCCAAAGGGTCGGAACTCACCGAGGCATACAAGAATCGCAGCTCTGCTCCAAGAGGAGGGTGTAGTTAATCCGCGCCCAACAGGGGGGGGGGGGGCTATTCATAGCCCCCTCCCGTTTTTCTGCAATAACTTCCAAACCACTTGACGTATCGACGCCAAACTTTCAGTACCTTCGGCTGCATCAATGTGACACCCTGTGCCAAAATATGAACTTCGTAGCTCTGATAGGTCGGCCGAAAATGACGTTAGAGTGACGTCATGTTCGCCCGATTTCGACGCAAAACGTTGAACCACGGCAATCGCTCCCAAGAGCTCAGTTTTTAAGCTAGATCCAATTTTTTTGTATGAGTGGACTCAGAATAGACTGTGCTATCAAACTACTATCTCGAATTTTCAAAATTTTGAAAATTTTGAAAATTATTTGTAATAAAATTCAAAATATATACTTATTATTTTTTTCAAACACTTTTTGCCTTTTCGAAAAAACGGAATATATGTGATAGAACACATGCTTATGACTTACTCTAGCAAGTTTTAGCTAAATATCTTCAAAAATGGCAAAGTTATACGCATTATTGCAGAACAATTAACAATTTACATTTTTCAAATCAATTTTTCAGTACGTTTTTGACATCGTACACCAAAATAAATAGCACCATCGTGTTCCTTGGCTCAAACTGCATCCAATAGACACCTTTTGTGTTGAAAAATTCCAACCTCAAAATTTGACCTTTTTTGACCTGAAAGTGACCTGACCTAAGCTAAATTCAACTCAAAATGACCTCGAATGACACAAACGACATCAAAGTCGAAATATATGGCCTAAATGCCTAAATAGACAATAAACCATCTGTCACCTGACCGAGGCATGATATAATATTTCCGTGACCTGTGATGACCTGACCCTGACCTGAAAATCAAAGTACAAGTTGGATACCCTCAGGGCATCTAAAGCATCTATTCATGAGTGTGTAAACCAAAAATGAGCCTGATTTGACTTGTAAGACGGCGGCCAGAGCCCAAAATGTGAGCAAACCAAAATGCTAATAATTTTTACTTTGACCTGACCTGTGACGTCATCGGTGACTTCGTGGTCAATGAAATTAGGGTTCGCTCGACAGTTTTTCCGCGGTTATCAGACGCCGTTGAGTTTTGACGATCGGCCCAGTAGTTTCGGAGTTAGTAGGGGGCTATGAAGAGCTCCCCCCCCCCCACGTAGGGCGCGTTATACGCAGACCCCAGTGGGGCGCGGGTTAAAATCAGTTTATGTCTGCAGCACGAACTGAATGGGAAACTGGCTTGCATGCAGTTCATAACAGCCGTTTTCATAACGGGTTACCTGGCGAATGCACCAAAGTTGACCAAATTTACACCAAATCTCAGTTACAATGAATATCTTCATATCGTGAATTTATTTCAGCGTTTTAATCGAAAATAGAGATGCCAATCGGTTACTAACTTTTTGGTATAGGGGAAAATGGGGTAAGACGAACACCTTAACTTTGGAGCCATTTTACGGCCATTTTTTGTTTTTGCTCTATACAAGGCAGGAATTTTTTTTAGAATAAACAATTAAAATACACTTGAAATACAACTTGAAAATGTGCTCTTTCAAATGAGCATACATGCACGTTTGAGGCATGATATAATATTGCATGCACGTTTGTTAGCACGTTTGTTGAACATGCACGTTTGTTGAACCAATTTTCCTACAAAGCAAAAAAAAGACATTTTCACGAATACCCTGTACCAACAATGAGCCTTGAACAAGGCAGATAACAAAATTGGTAGTAAGCAGTCTTATTGCCAAGTTCAGAGCATTATGAAATACCTACAATGGGTTAATGAAATCAGCAATATGAAAAGAACCATTAGCTAAAACATGATCAAACATAAATGCACGTTTGTCTCGTAATGGCATACATGCCATACAGTATGCATCCGAATGTCATCTTCATCCTCGACTCGCGTTTCCCATAGTCACGCTGAGAGGGCAGATTCTGACTACTTGGCCCTCAAGGCCGGCCTGGGCAGAGATCGGGACGAGGCGGTGCGCCCGTCTCGCCAGCAGTCTGCAGAGGTGGGCCAGGCGCACCAGACAGTTCACGTTCGCAGCAGAGGTGAGTCCGTCGGAAGCGTTACCTTACTGCAACCACTGTGAGTGTTGACGTGTAGGCGCCCAACGCAGTGCAACATTCCTACTTACACCGTTAAACGGGCTACCTGCGACTTTTTGCCGTTCCCTTTGACCTCTTATTAGCCGTTTTCACGACGGCAATCTCATGGTACACAGTTGGTGCAGAGCTTTGGTGCAGATTTGGTCAAATTAGGTTGAGTGTGCTCAGTTTGCGCTGCACAGATGCTTGTATACATAATTTTTCAAATTATCAGACTTTATTTTCGATTAAAACACTGAAGTAAATTCATGTTATGAAGATAGGTATCTATTGTTACAGAGATTTGGTGCAGATTTTGTCAAATTAGTTGCATTCGTCAGATAGTCCGTCGTGAAAACGGCTATTGAATCTTCACTTCCCGTTTTGCCGCAGTTTACAAGATGGGCATTGACATTTACGCCATCAAGCCGAGCCCGCCATGCCGGGCCGTCTTTCTGGTGGCTAAAGCCATCGGCCTGGACTATAACCTCAAGATCGTAGACATGGAGAAGGGGGAGAACCGGACTCCTGAGTTCCTGAAGATGAACCCGGCACACACCGTGCCTGTCATGACGGACGGTGAACTATCAATAGGTGACAGGTAGGTGACAAGGATGCAAGTATATAAAACAATAATTAGATAGGCATATAGAAATAAAATGAGTGACAGGCTAGGCATAAAGCCAGCCGGCACTTTGCCGGTAATACGGTCAGGGGAGGCCGGGATAAGCTCCGGAAATCCCAGCTTTCCATAGCGGGAAGATTACATTCGAAATATCCCAGCCTATTACGGACCTGCATTTAGGGAGACGTGATATTTCGGCTCACCATTCTTTACCGCTGACTGGGAAGCTCCGAACAACTCCCAACTTAAAAAGCAAAAGGTCACAGGACGCTCTTGGTGCAATAGGGACCCATTCGGAACCCTCCGGGGTCCTGCGCAGGCCGTGCAGGGCAGGTTACGATATCTGGGAAACTTTTAGGCTGAGCGAGGTGCCTATACAAGCTTCAGACCAAATCAATCTGCAATCCCATTCGCGAAAGGCTGGGCCATTTTAACAAATTCCGAGTAGGTGGTGGGATCGGTATATGGAGGAGAAAAGACTAAGTAAAAGTAATGCGTAGTTGGTGCCTAAATCGATATCACCATTTCACAATATAATCGTGCCTGCATGCCTGTGATAAGAAATTGTTATGCATGCAGTTGTTACGTTCCGTTGCTTTTAAGCAGAAAATGCCGAAAAAGGTTCCACAAATTTAGCTTAACATTCTTATTGTCCAAGACACTCAGCCACCCCTATATTTGTTCCGGCAGCAAGGCGATCATCACCTACATGATGAACCAGTACGCGCCTGCCAACTTGCAGAGCCTGTACCCCCGCGACCCGGCCGCCAGGGCTCTGGTGGACCAGAGACTCTACTTCGACTCCCAGCTGTTTGCCAGCCTTCGCGGCATCGTGGTGAGTTTAATAAGTCCATTGTGGAGAGAACTATAACGCTTCATGCTATTGCCTTGTCAGCCATTTCGCGCCGATCCCCAGAGGGATACCTAATGGTTTCACCTTGTGGCCGCCCGAGAAATCTCCGTCTTTATCTGGGGAATTGAGACCTAAGTATTGTGTGATATATCCCAATCGTTTCTAGAACGATTATCAGGCGTTCCCCAACCGATTGTTAGGGATATCCAGCGCTATCTGCGAGCTTCCAATGACACCACAACACGGTAAAAAAGCACAATCCCAACAAAAATATTCCAGGTTTTAGCCAATCGGTCGCTTGGAGTCGGAATATCCCTAATCGTCCCCAAGCCTGAGGAAAGCTCTAAACGTTCTGACTTACCTCAAACTGGGGAACCTGTCGAACTCGAGTATCCCAGCCACCACGGATCCAACAAAGCTATTTGAAAAAGCAACGGGATTTTCTAAGCACTCCCCAGCCAGGTAGGAGAATGTGCCGAAAATCCCAATTATGCCCTGATGTTCTCCAACCGATCCCCAAGCAAAATGCTAACAGGGTAATGCAAAGTAAATAGACACTGCCCTATGCGGAAAGCGGAACACGAACTTGATCGAAAGGCGTGCTGTACCTACCGTTTGGACCGTTTGAACAACACCATTTTTGGACAGCCACTCTTTGACAATAACTTGGATCACAACTTTTTGTCACGTTTAAATACACATAATATAATACACATGCATATCAAAATGTTGACTTTGCTGCCAAGGAATTTAGTTGGTTGACACACTGTCACCTTACGAGCTGTGGTGAAGCGCTGATTGATTGATTTCTTCGGTCAACGGCGCTGCAAATCCATCATTGTTGTTATTGCTCACATCGCTCACTGTCTACCCATCGCCATCATCTGTTCTAACGCTGTCACTGCGCCCCTATTCCAGTTTCCTCTGGTGTTCATGAAGGACCTGAAGCAGTCGCAAGCGAACATGCCGCGGGTGGACGAGAACATGGCGCTACTGGAGACGTTTCTGACGCGCTCCACGTACCTAGCCGGCGAGCACTTGACCATCGCCGACCTGGCCATGCTGTCCAACGTCTCCAGCGTGGAGACCGGCGGTCTCGACATGTCCCGCTGGCCGCACGTGCAAGCCTGGCTGGCCAAGCTGAAGGCCGAGCTGCCCTACTACGAGCAGGCCAACGGCGAGGGAGCTCAGATGATGGGCGCCATGTACAAGAATGCCCTCAAGGAGCTGGGAGGAAAGTAGGGGTGTTGTGATCGCGAAAAACACTATTGAAAAGGCGGACATGCTCTTGGTTTCGCCTGTAATGTTCTTCAGAAAACATCGGTTATCTGTCGCTCACAGGCGTGACTTGGGCCGATCAACAATAAGCTGAATAGACGATAGTTGACAGTACAAATATGCCTTTGCCCATCCAAATGCGCCAAATATATGATATATACTACGAACCGATGCTCGTCTGTACATTGTAGTGTGGATTCTCTACATGTAGTGTACATTCGTAGTAGTTATTGGTCTTTGTGCCAATAACTTGTCACATAATAAAGATAGAGCTGCTTTCAAAATGGTATCATTTTGTTCCTCTTGAACAGCTGAGTCGAATGATATACAACTTTAAGTACCGGACATTCTTAAGACTTAAGTTTTACTTAAGCTGTGCCTAACTTTTAGAGTACACTTCAACAAGAAAAAAGTGTACCTATCAATCGACGCACCTTGACGTGCTGAGTTCACTGGTGCTTTTGTTTTTGCTCTATATTAATGGGATCAAAAGCGAAAAACTTTTAACCCGCGCACCGACGGGGGTCTGCGCCAACTTAACGACATCAGATACGCACGGACAAGGTCTACAATTTTTACTAAGGTCATTTTCAGGTCAGGTCAAAGATGACGTCACAGGGGTCAAAAAATCAAAATGGCGGCGCTAGATATGGAGAGAGTTTTTCTCCAATAACTTTCGAATTAGTCAAGATAGGAACAAACTAAGGGCATCATCGTGATCTTCTCGTCAATCCGCATTGAATGATATATATTGACTTCGAAAGGTCAAGGTCATAGGTTGACCTCAGGTCACGTGACCTCGAGGTCATCATGCATATCATTCGATGCGTCTTGACGAGCTGAACACAATGAGACCATCCGCGCGGCTGTATCTTGTTCCTGTACGGAGTTATTGGCAAAAACCTTTGGTGACCTTTGATGACGTCACATGACCTTACAGCTGCCCAACAGCAAAACAGACCTCAAGGTAGTGAAGGTTGATCGTATATGAAGTCATGTATGGTATATGGGGCCATTTCGACCCGTTTTAGTGATAAAAACAGGGAGTTGATTTTCCCCCATTGACTTATAATGGAGAGGTCGAGAAATTGACCTGACCTTAGGTCAAAATCAAAATTCCGAGACATAAATATTGTAGCTAATAATGACCTTATAACTTCCTGTGACTTTCAAAGGCCTCCGACATCTACTGTAGCTCTGGCACGGTGACAAAGTTGCAAAAAAAGTGACTTGAGGTTGGGTCATTCAAAGTGACCTGGTGACCTGACCTTAACAGTTAGGAGGTTTAACTTGCACACCATGTGTAAAATTGATGAGAGAATAGTCGTATCGAATTTCGCGCCACTACGCGCCGCAATTTTCCCGCTATTCGCGAAAACCCTTAGGGGGGGGGGGCGGATATCCGCCCCACGTCGGTGCGCGGGTTAACCTGTTTTAGCGAAATTTTAACATTTACATATACCCCCAAAATTCCCCTAAATATTGACCTAGAGCAACCAAATTTGCACAGGGGAGAGAACTCCTGGGGGGGGGGGGGGAGGGCCACCTACCCACCAAATTTTGTGTTTCTAGGTACCATAGGAGCCAGTCGCGAGGGGGGGGGGTCAGGGGGTCGCATCGACCCCCCCCCCTGCCAGGCCGTGTTATGAAAAATGCCCTGCCAGGGCGGTTTTAAATGGGAAACCGGTTTACAGACATTGCATATAAGTCATGCTAGATATGTCACAGGTAGGTGACACAGGGCACGAAAATGTCCTTTTAAAACACGCTTAACAATTAGAAACACGCATTTAAATGAAACAGGGGTTCTGAGGCCAGTTTTACCGACAGAAAAATAGCCCCTGCCGGAATTGTTTGCCTAAAGAGTCAAAGACGGACCGCTTCACATACCGAGTGTAATCCGCTTACGTGGCCATCGCGTTTACGCTCCGTATGTGAAGCGGTCTTTGGGCAAAAAACTCCGGCAGGCGGCTATTTTTCTGTTGGTAAAACTGGCCTCCGATCAATTTTGCTATAGTATACCCGACCATAATAACTTTCATTCGACACAAGACAGTTTTAAGCATTGGTTATTTTGATGGTGAGATAACGGTCAGGTCAAAGCCAACTTTTGAGTATGATAAGCGCCAATAGAATCGGCATATTTCTGTAAGAGAAAATGCGTTTCACAGAGCTTTATTTTTTCATAAGAAATTAATCGAACGTCACGTCACTTTTGTTCTTTCCGATCGACTTAAAATAGCTGCGCTTACGCATTTTTATTTTCAACACGGTATCAAATTGATCTAACAAAAGGAATGAAGCGAGCATGGAACTTGTTAACTATTTCAGAAAACGAGAGGAGGAGGCTTGAAAATTCTCTATGCAGCCGTTCAGGAATTTATTATGTAATCTGCCGGGCTAGACGGCGCGGTGCGGCGCGGGTGCCCGACCTCAGCATTCAGCATATGCGAGTGGAGCGTCGTCGGTTCGCTCTGACAGACCAGCCGGGGAGGCAGCCGCCGGGGTCGAGAGGACGGTCACTTGCCGACGATATTCGGCAAGTGATGGTGGTGCCAATTTTACGATATTGAGAAGCCGAAACCAAACCAAATACATATCCAAAACAATGAACATTGAACAATACATACAACAAAACTGCTGTTCAGAATCAGGAAACAGCTTTATTGCCGACAACAAAACATTTTATGGAATAAAGTGAGTTCATGAAATCAACAATATAAAATAGGCTTAGTTTAGTTCGAACTCTAAATATGAGTCCACTTTTTCGCATTGCAATAACAAAAATTCCGTATTCGACTGACATCTCTATTCTCCATTCGGCATTTCCTGCATGGTCACCCTGAGACGGCAGATTCTGACTATGCCTGGCCGCTCAAGGCCGGGCTGTGAAGAGGCTGACCCGGCGCCAGTCTCCACCAGCAGTCTGTAGGAGGAGGTAGACCAGGTGCACCGGACCGGTGACATTCACCAGAGGTGAGACAGTCGGCAGCGTTACCTAACTGTGCGAATGGTTGGAGCCGTCTTCACGAGATCAGGGGCCGTATTCACGTCGATGATTTTCGTAAGAATTTTCGTAAGTTTGACCCACTTCTTAAGTAATTTTTTTCATTCACGTGAACTCCGTCGATAAAAAAACTTAAGAAGTGTCGACATGAATACCAAATTATACTTACGAAGGAAAATCGACCTACGAAGTCGACGTGAATACGGCCCCAGGTGTTCTTGATATCCAATAAGCCGTTTTCACGACGGGCTATCCAGCGAATGCACCTGATTTGACCAAATCTGCACCTAATTTCTGTTACAGCAAATATCTTCATTTTATGAATTTATTTCAGTGTTTTAATCGATGATGCTCTCTGATAATATTGCAAAGCAGGCATATAAGCACTTAGTGCAATCCTAGCTGATAGCTGCTAAGAGACACACTGAACTTGATTTGACCAAATCTGCACCTAATCTGTACCAGATGTGCACCAAATGTGTATCAGATGGCTGTCGTGAAAACGGCTAATATCTAGGTACTCACTAGTGACTAGACGGCAGATGAGTTAGAATTATCAAGGGCTGCAGGCAGGAGATATAAATTAGGTACGTTTTCATCCTTTAGAGTTGGCTTTTATCTACTAGAGCGATGTGTATTTTAAAACAACAACTGTGACTTTCGACGTGTACATCGTTAGACGGATTGCTGCTCGACGTTTCGCCGTTCCTTTTGATGTGAAATCCAAACTTCCCGTCTCGCTGCAGTCTGCAAGATGGGCATTGACATTTATGCCATCACGCCGAGTCCGGCATGCCGGGCCGCCTTTCTGGTGGCCAAAGCCATCGGACTCGACTACAATCTCAAGATAGTGGATCTGGCAAATGGAGGGAACCGCACTCCCGAGTACCTGAAGATGAACCCGGCGCACACAGTGCCTGTCATGACAGACGGCGAGCTGTCAGTGGGTGACAGGTAGGTGACAGCGAGTGACAGATGCGACAATCATATGCACATAGCACAAAGAGAAGTTCTATTCTAGCAAGATGGATAAGAAGCGAACCTCCAACCCCATTTGTTCCGGCAGTAAGGCGATCATCACCTACATGATGAACCAGTACGCGCCTGCCAACTTGCAGAGCCTGTACCCCCGCGACCCGGCCGCCAGGGCTCTGGTGGACCAGAGACTCTACTTCGACTCCCAGCTGTTTGCCAGCCTTCGCGGTATCATGGTAAGATAAGACCATGTCAAAGTCTCGACGAAAATGTTAACGAGCGTTTGAGTGTGGGGAGACTATGTCGAAAATTCTATAAGAAACGCGAGGCCCTAAATACTGAGAAACCATCGTGTGAACTCCTTTAGGTGTTGCGTTGATTACAGTTTTGGTACCGTGCAGTTTTTATTGATTTATATTGTCGGCATCATTTCAACGTTTAGAAGCCCACGGGTTTTGCCGCTGGTTGAGCGCCACATGCATGAGGAGCGTGTGTCGTATCACTGGCCGTCTACCCATCGCCATCATCCGTTCTAACGCTGTCGCGACGCCTTACAGTTTCCAGTGGTGTTCCGGAAAGTAAAGGATCTGAAGATGTCTCAGGCGAACATGCCGCGGCTAGAGGAGAACATGGCGCTACTGGAAACGTTCCTGACGCGCTCCACGTACCTGGCCGGCGAGCACTTGACCATCGCCGACCTGGCCACGCTGGCCAACGTCTCCAGTGTGGAGGCCGGCGGTCTTGACATGTCCCGCTGGCCGCACGTGCAAGCCTGGCTGACCAAGCTGAAAGCCGAGCTGCCCAACTACGAGCAGGCCAACGGTGAGGGAGCTCAGATGCTCGGTGCTATGTACCAGAAGGCCCTGAAGGAGCTGGGAGGAAAGTAGATGTGCTGTGAACGCGGAACGAACTGAAAGCAGGATCGGAGCCCTGCCCTCAATAAAATGATCGGACTTCGGGCGGTGACAGGCATGACGTCGGCCGGTCACCAATAGACTGGATAGTTTACAGTACAAATATGTCTTTGCCCAATGATAGAGCTATCGAGTATCGAGTATACACTGAGACCCAATGCTTCTTAGTTCCTCGCAGCGCGAATTTTCTCTCATATCAAATATATGGACACTCACATCTTTCATGCTGTATCAAGGATTGAAATGGCTTCATATTTCTGACTGGGCGGCGTTTGACGGGCTGTAACGAACCCATTTCACAGTCATAACCGAGTTGACCCGGTGTGGAATCCGACCATTCGGCCAGGTTACGGGTCTCAAGCGAGATTTCTGATCTGCGAAATGACAGCGCAGCGACGATATGGCGATACTAAGTTCGCCCCCACCAGTTGTAATCAAACGGCAAATAATTAAATCATAAATCTGGCTACGATCGGACACATTGCATGATTGTTTGATTCACATCTCGTCACGGCTAAAAGTAAAAAGAAAATACAAAATCTGATAAGAAAGTGACGAATTTAAAGAGTATCGTCCGCACATACGCACAACCAGCACATAATTGATAAGACTCGAAGGACGTACAGTACGAATCAATTCGAAGTATGGGACGGACGCATAAGTACACTCAGGTCTTGCTGTACCAACTGAGATCCAGAGCGCGCCTATGATAGTCCATAGACCTCAACATACGTATGTAGAGAGGTCCAACGTAGGTATGTATGTAGAGAGGTATGTAGAGGTGTATGGATAGTCCCATTCCAAAGCTCTAGGGGGCCATGTCGGGTTGCTTGGCTGTTGCTTGCTCCGGGTGGCATCATGCATCGCCATATCCGCATCGTTTGAACACTTCAGCATAACTCTCGCAGTCAGTGATCGCAGAATGACGTCGGAGAGGTGCCAAGAGAAATACAATGCTTCGTAAACGGCGTTTCACTGGCGGTCGCAGCCGCTAGCAAAAGGGGGGGCCAAAGTCACACTCGCGGGACATAACATTTATCCGTCACCGGCATAGGCGGTGGAACGGGGAGGGCACCGGGGCACCGTGCCCCCCTTTGATTTTGGCATTTTAACATTAGCCCTATGGGCGTTGCATGGAAAGAATGGGACCAAAAGTCGGCAGTGCCCCCCCCCCCTTAATTGAAGGTGTTCCGCCGCTACTGGTCACCGGGAGGGGGGGGGGGTGATCGGCTAATTTTTTACGTCCACGAGGCGCCGCACAGTTGGCATTACTTATGCTTCATCCATCTCATTCTTGCGTGAAATCATTGAGCTCAATTTAAGGCAAAATCACCAGTTCCATTTACCGTCTCACGGTGTGCCCACCGGTCGGGCCGCTGCACCATGACGACGGATCGGTGTAGCATAGGTATACTGGAAGGTCAGGCACGCGGATTCATGACCTTACCACTATAAAACAATTCGGAAAAGTACAGATAGGTAGGTACCTCTTGCTAAAAAGTACAGATACCTCTTGCTTTGAAAAAGCATGTGAAACCCAGAGAGCATTTTTAGACTATGACATTTACCCATATAGGTACCTAGTTGTGTGGCGGCGGGAGAGAGTAGGTACTGGTACACCGACCTCTGGAGACCCCCACAGGTTCCGAGCTTTCAGAATTGGCATCTGAGGGCCACGCGCGACTCCTGCGGGGCTTCGCAGCGGCTCTGTTGGGGCTCACTCAACCTGCGTAGTCCTACTGCTAAAAAGACTGGCCCTGAGCCCTAAGGACTTCATCAGTCTCTGCCAGCCCCAGGACCCACACCGGCTCATGGGGTCCCGACGTCGAAATATGAGGGAATCAGCGCGGGACCATCAGGACGTAAAGCAATCTCGATCAGGACCAACGTAAGGCTGTGCCGGGGACTGCGTGAGCCCTCTGATCTTCAGAAACCCACCATGTATGTTTTCATGTAGAGGCCAGTTTAGGGCCCTCAGAGACCAGTACAGGGCCTGCAAACTACAAAGGCCAGTAGTTTGAGACCATCAGAGACCAAGTTGGGCTCTCAGAGGCTAATGTGGGTCCTTACTCATTACAGGCCAACATGGGCCCTCAGAGGTCAGCGTGGGGCCCTAAAAGACCGGCATGAGCCGTCGTTTGACCCCAGAGGCCAGCAGAGGGCCCTCAAAGGCCAAGATGGGCCCTCCTCAGAGGCCAATGCAGACCCTTAGAGGCCGGCATCGGGTCTTCAGCAGCCAGTGCGGGGCCCTTATTGGCACCTAAAGGTTCATCTTGGGACACCAGAGACAGAAATAAGGCCACCAGAGACCTGTGTGAGACCCTCAGACGCCGGTTGGGACCCCTGAGGCCGGTTAGGGGCCCTCATAGGCCAGATGTGGGGCCTCAGAGGTTGATGTAGGCTCTTAGCGGTCAACGTGGGCGCTTGACCGCCACTGAAGTTCCCTCAGAGGTCAGTGTAGGACGCTCAAAGACCGGTGTGGGAGCTATATTAATAGCTTGGCGTGGATTTTTTTAGCCTCGTGACGATCGAATAATTGCCAGGGCCCCATACACCTATATGGGGGCCCATTGGTTGTTTGAGGGGGGGGGGTCAAATGATATGATGGCCCCCTTTATTGACCTTTGGGGGCATGGCCCTGATGCCCCCCCCCGGCCCCCCCGACCGCCACTGTGTACACATTACACACATGCCTCTGAGATTACATACTAGCTCATGCAAACTCTATGCAGGCCCCGAAGGTCCCACGCTAATCCTTAAGAAACCAAGCCGGCATACGGCATCACCACCGGGCTTCTGAGGTGCACAGCACCAACCCTTGAGGTCTTACTTTAGTGTCTTGGAGCCAATCTCCTTTAGCAGGGCCCACCCGCCACTGCCGAAGAGGGTCTCATGCCAGCCATTGCTGAATGCTGGGCCTACGAGAGCCTTAAAGGGACCCTCCCACCTTCAAAAAAGTTAATGAATTGGCATAAAAGTGATGTAGCGTGAATCACAAAGAGCGAAAATGAACATCTACCAAATTTTACCGGAAAATATTCACCCGTTTTCGAGATATAAGACTTTTATTTTTGTTTACTTTTTGGGAAATCCGCTGTTTCTATGACGTCACATAAAGGTTTTCTTTACGTCGGCATTTGGAAGCAATAGTTTGGTATCAAAGTGCGACAAATATTGCGCGAATGATGCGTTTATCTTATCAAGGGATGGCCAATAAAGGATTCCAGGACAATTCATATGGCATTTCTTCGTATCGCAATTCTTCGTCTGCAAATCTTCGTCAGGGCATTTATTCGTACCTATCGCATTACTTTGTCTCGCACCAGGGTATATGAAAATCGGCTCACATTTCTTCTTCAACGCAAATATATGCAAGAGTAAGCATTGAGGGACAAATAAATGCATTCATTCATTCATTCGTCGTTCATGCACCGACGAAGATTTGTAGACCAAGACGAAGAAATGCGGACGAAAAATTGTGCTACGAAGAAATGTCATGCGAGGATTCGTTCGGGTACCATGACATTTATGTGATTTCAAAGTCAAGGTTCACAGGCTCACAGCTGATCTGCTAAATCAAGCCAAGAATCCAAACTATAAAAAACTATAAATATTTGTTTGTCTGTCACAGAGGTCTCAAGCAATATAAGGTTGACATATGTTGAATCAAAAATCTACTGCCACAACTCACATCTCCTGCCTTAGTTTATCATTGTTGTTTTAACTTGCTTTCAAGAGAAACAGAAGCCAGTATCTGATATCACTTCAGATGATTGTTTCAAGATCTGAGTTCAAATGGAAATAAAAGCAAGATCAAGATGAAACAGGGATTATTGCTGTTAAAGTAGTTTGGCCATGATACAACAAGCACATAAATCATTAGCCAAATCAAATACTGGTTGGTTTGTCAAGATGTTTGTTGTCTGTCGTCTGTCGAGCTGCTATGAACACTGAACGCTCTCACTCTTACTTTAAAGAGAGTAGTTTAAGTTGAATGGTAGTGAGCTGTAATTAGACAAAGCAGCTATTCAGTGCTCACATCAAGCCAGGCTAGGAAATGGCATCAACTGTGGTGGGAGGAAGCAGGTTCGGCAGCCCTATGTTGTAAACTTCTGTTATGTCTTGTGTTTGATCAACTGATGTTTTCTGCTCTGTTTTGTGCAGTGATAGTAGCAGGCAACTGCATGCTTGTCAAATTATGTGAATAAACGAATTCATAACATTGCATTTTTCTCTCCATGCAAGGAACAAGTAAGATGTTGTAGAAAATGTAATAGAGGGCTGCATTGCTGATTTTGCACTTTATCAGAGCTTTATTTAGAATTGCTTTCCTGAAAGCTACACACAGGCCACAGTGCTGAAATTCACAATGTCATAGCTTTTGGCAGAAAAAAGAAAAGACTTACCTAGGTAAAATTGGCTGAAAGTATGGCAGAGCAGGTCTTGATGCGTATGCCCATACGTGTGCTTGCCGAAGCCGAACTGACTGCAACACACTAACTCTGACCCACCATGGTGACTGGCATATCCTGAACTTTCACCACTCTAAACAAGACAACTTTCAGCCCTCAGCATTATATTAAAACACTGTACAAAACACTCAAAATTTGTTTCAGTGCCATCCACGGACAACATCAGTCGCCATTCACCAGGCCAGTAAAAACAGAATAGATAATAGCTTCAAACCCATGTAGTCAGAGTTACTAGGTCTGCACCTCAAAACAAAATCCAGGTGACATTCACCACGCCAGTAAAAAACAGGTACTTAGGTAACGTAACAGCTTCAAATCTGGTAACATGTTGGTCGGACTTTACACTACCATATTTACATGGAATAATATGATACCAAACAATAGTGCAACCATTATGGACAACAAAAGTGTATGATAAAATTAATTTAGAATACTCTGGCAGCATGATTTACGAGCACAGGCAGGTGTTACCTACCAGCCTTCTCAATGCTCGTAAAACCAACATTGTAGTCTTGATTTTACCTTACATGATAACACACTTGGCTGCAATGGCACATTTAATTTAATACTGTGAAAGGACCAGTTATAACCACTTCACAAGCACAATTGCACCTCATGCCGACATCCTTTTCCAAAGACAGTCAGCAGCGTCTTTCGTCAAAACTGGAAGATAAATCCCCTTATAACTGTTAACATCAAAAATATTTCTTCATGGTGTGACTGTGATCTCCATATGGAAACCTTGCAGGA